ATACCAGAATTTATTTAAAAAAATAGCTGTCATCTTAACTACTTAAAAAAAATATACTTGATTTGACTGACCACACCACAGCATGCTTGATTTTTTTTTAACGATCACCCTTTAAAAAAAAAGAAATACAGTTTTTTTCCGTTGTTGTTGTTTGTTTTTAAAAATTCCATAATATTATTGCGGTTCACGACATAATTATTAAAAAATAGAAAATAAAATAACGCGTACAACGACATAAGATACACTATATCTATAATGAACGAGGTGTGTCCGAGGTCAAGGAGCGTGATGAGTACGGCGTATACAGCGCACCTGGTCTTTGCAGCTAACTGAAAACCTATCCCTGTGAGATACTATACACGAAACATAATGTTTACCGCTTTACCCATATTACGTGTACGTATATAATATGTATAATATCACATATTTTTAAGTATAATATTATGCGCTATTCCGTTTTTGAAACAATAACGAATCACGTATTATCGCACGGCAATTCGAAATCCCATCGTGCGGTCGTGCGGTTATCACCCCGCAGGATTTATGGACGACGTGATACGCGTCCGCATACACACACACATAGTCGCGCGGCGGTGTGGCGGCCGTGATTCCTGTTTCATCCTCTCACGCCCACCCAAACGTCCTGCGGACCGTGAAAACTTTTTTGTCTCTCTCCGGTCGTTCGTACTATAATATTATATATACGTGCACCGGTATGATATTATTTTTGCACCTGTTTTTCTCGTCGATTATCCTCCACCGACGAATGTTCAACGGATTGCATTATTTTTGTCATTATTATGTATATTATAAAATGTACAATATAATGCGTAAAGTTATCATAAGAAATCCTATTTAGATGTTATATATTATATCACATGATATTGTCAGTACGTGTTAGGCATATTGTATAACATAGTAATATAATCGGTTCTTGAATTTTCGAAAAATAATAAATTATCATCGGAAAGAACTTTCTTATTTACACTATCGTTGGCGAAAATACGAGTAGTGGTGGTTGGATTTGGGAGAACTTACTCTTCTTAAATTACTGTGCTTAATTCCTCCTATTCGAAATTAAATCAACACAAATAAAAAATTAATAACATCAAACAAATTTCAATATTTTAACTGGAAACAATAAAATTAAACCATTTATTTAAATTTTAAACGACTTGTTATCGTTAATATTGTAATAAAAAAATAAAGTATTTCACCAATATAATTAAATTATAAAAAAAAAACCACGTGAACTCTGTCTTCAGAGTGAGATATGTACTTATGGTACCTTCATATTCCGTATTGACGACATTCCACTTCTTCCCCTCATTATAATTATAAAAGTCTTGGGTCCGCGCGTGATAATATAAACCCATTACATATATAATTGCATGACGTACCTATACGGTGTAATTTATACACCCGTTAATCATTCCGCCGCATACAATATATTGTAAATGATTTTCTAATAATAATGTATAATATTGCATGCTTTTTAACTAACCTATCCGTCGCGTGATATTTATCGAATTACACGCACGCGTCGTGATTTTCAGACAGATCGTACGGATCACTTAAAATCTATAAATAGTACCTTTATACTACATAACGATTTAAACTAATTATTCATGTCATGCACATTTTTACATGCAATACGCACGCGCATACTGCAGGGCCGTGAATAATAGCAGTTAGTAATGCATAATTGTACATACGTAACTCTGTCCTCTAATACGCCATTATACGCGACGAGTCGTATAGCCGAAAGGATTATAATAATTCCCGTTTTGCGCATCTACTTCCAGTATTACAATATGTTTAGTATCCACTATTGTGTTATTATTTTTAAATTAGAATTATTCAACTCGCGAATCATCAATTAAAATTAACAACTCATATATACAATTACAATGAACGAGATGAATGAAAAGGTGAATATTATTTTCGTATTCCCTAAAATAATTCCTCAAAGTACAACTAAATATTAATTTTGTTGTATAATTATATCTTATTTTTTAATGTATTGTATTCAATTTCAATATTATTATGTTACAGGCTATTTGAAAAATTCGTCTACATTTGCAGAAATAAATTATTCTACACAGATATTATTTAGAGACATACAGCCACCGACAGCATGAAATATTCGATTCATTATAGCCGTCACTGGATACAGTTTTTTTCTACAATTAGATGAATTTTTCAAATGACTAACGACTTACGACATAAGCAAAGTAATCGAAATATTGCGTTACAAAACCGATAGCGGAAATATATTACCTAGGTAAAATTGCATTCAATCCCATTCTCTCTACCAATTTTATAATACAAAATTTAGGCTTAACAAGGTTTAAATTTTTGCGTGGCACTTGCAACGTATATAATCGTTGTACCTATAAATATCCAAGTCTCAGCGGGTGGCTACTAGTTACGTCCCGCGATAAAAATTTCTTCCTGATTGAGGCCCCAGTATATTTGGGGTACATACGAATTGCGGCCCAAGATTTTTTGGGTTACATATGAAATTTAGCCCGAAATTTAAAATTAAATTAATTGAAATATGTAAATCAAAATTAAAAAAAAGCTTCATTTTCCTTCACATTTTTATACAGACTTAGGATTGTCTGTAGCATCACTAGATACTGTGATTATATTTTATCAGTCAAGATTAAATTATTTAGAATAAAAAATCCGGATCGCAACTCGTCTGTACCCAAATAAACTCGGGCCGCAATTTGGATTAGACCTTTTTCATAGATATTTTCAGGACGCAACTAGTATGAAGCCGTCTTGGTGGCTTATACAAGAGAAAAAAAAGGAGGCTGCACGACGAATTATATTATGTCTATATTAAACAAGACGCGTTCGAGTCACGAGAAAAACGTGAGTATAGCCGCCGGCCAGGTTAGGTGACCGCGGTTCATCGAAATCACAATCGAGTGTGCCCCGTCTGCTCCGTGTGAATCGTATTGGTTCTCGACTATCTACGTACTTAAGCCGCTGCAGAGGTTCATGGGAAGTTTTTATAACGAGACACAGTACACCCAGGCGAATTCTCTTGATTTAAAATACAAACAAATATACCTTGATTAAATCATTTAGTTAACAAAAAACGAGCAATCACCTAAATAATTACAACTTACGTGCAATCATTGAGGAATAATGTGGGATGTATTTTTAACAAAATATTTAGTTATTAATTGAAATTGAAAGTTCCAAAATTACTAAATATGTATGACCCAGATAGTTATTAAAAAAAAAACTTGAGACAGTTAATTTAATATTTTTCTTAATCTCAACTTTAAACTTTCATAAAATACGAAATAGAATACGAATAGATTCTTCTATGACAGACCGTCATCTAAACTACGCCCAAACTAATAAGTTAAGTCTGGAGAGACCATTGGTATAACTAATTGTGGCGGATGAACAGTCCTTTAGCATTTCTGATTCAATTGCACACCCTAAAATGTATGTCTATGGTTTAGACGTTGTAACGAAAATGTACGTTTTAAAATATTTAAAATATTACGACTTCGTTATTTTCGGAGCGAATACCTCCTGTTTAATATGTGTTTCCTGTAATATGACCATAAAGACGGACGTGTGATGGCACATTCATCTGCTTCGTGTAATTGCGACAACGAACGTTATATATACATAATATTCTATCAACAGTCCGGACAAGAATTTAATATATTCTTGTTTTATCATGGGCTATAGGGCTAATATGCATATTATATTTTGGGTATTATAACAAATTCGTTGTTTCTGTTTTATTTTTTATTTTTTTTTAATCGATTAACAGTCATCAAAGGTGGTAAACACATGACGACGGCTGGTCTATATATGCACCACACACACTCACACTTCGCATCGGACAGGTGTGTGACTGCAGTTAACAACATCTGTAGTGTCGCGGCAGTCCGAAAACCATTGGGCCATCGGCTCTCGGGGGTAGATATAAATATATATATATTATATTATTATATTTTTGTCCGTTGGTAAAAAAAAAATGTAAAAAGGCAACTAATAGTTTTTAGCTCGTCGAATAGCTGGTTAGTTTTTAGTCGAATAATATCCATAGCACCACTGCTGCTGCTGTTACTGCTGCGTCGGCGTCTGGAGGAAGTATACAATATAATAGGACTTCGCCGTGGTACGCATATGTGTGGTGCAGCTAATAACTGGCAGCAGTGCCGGATAAACCGCCGGTGCAAGCGGTGCATTGCACTGGGGCCCCAACTCTTTAAAAAATTGGGGGGCCCCCGATATTATGAATATCAAACTATCAAAGTACCATAAAATAAAATAGATTCTTGGTAACATGTATGTTTTATTTTTTACAAATAGTATATTAGATTTTGGTTTATACTATTTTTATTTTTTAATTTATTCCCATTGGTGGGTTAATAATTGTGAATATTTGATCGGTTGTTTAATCTTTTTTTTTCATACGTATTATCGTGTATGCTGGTACACCGTTGACCAATACGGCGAATAATGATACCGTCGCGCTAGCGTTGCATTCAACGCAGCGCGACCAAAACTAAAAATAGATGTATCGAAAATTTCCCAATAGTGCCTACGATAACGAATTATATATTACTATACATATTGTTTTCATAAACACACCAGTACATCACACACGCTCAACACAAATATTATTATAAAGTTATTAGTTAATCATTAATCGACTATTGCGCGTGTCGCACTGTCGCGTGTGTTTCATAACTACAATATTATTATTATGTATGCAAAACAAAATCATTAGCTTATAATTTTACAAATATTAATCCAAAAAATTTTTGTAATATCTGCCCGTGTTGAACCCATTTGGCCATTTCATTGCGCGCCCGATTATTTTTTAATTAATTTAAATATATACTTATTATTAAATTATGTCATCGTCAAGGCAGTATTTATCGGGATCAGCAAAAAGAAAAATGAAAGAAGAAAGAGAAAATAATAAAAAAAAAATAGCTGGGTCAATGGACCGATTTTTAAAAAAAAAAACAGGTAAGTAGATAATTTATAAATAAATGGAGACATGGAGGTATGGAACTTACAAAAATTATACTTGTTTACAATAACTAATGTTATTTAAATAAATAAGAATAACTGAATAAACATATTAAAATTATAGTAAAATACATAACCCAATACCCATCATTCAGTGTTGTAAAGTATTAGAATACAAGCATTAAAATACTTTTTGAAGTATTTTTTAGTATTCTAAATACAATTTTTTAAAGTATTCTGAATAATTTTTAAAAGTATTTTAACGGACAAAGTCCGTTTTATTTTATTTTTCACAACAATTATTTGACATCAATAAAAATAATATTATTTTCGTTGAAATAATAAATTATTATAATTAATAACAATGTTTAAAATTTAAAAAATACTACATTCAATTTTATATGGGTTCTGTATTGGAATTTTCCAAGACATCTTTTAAAATGTTCCATACTAATAGTTACTATCACTTTTTATTTATTTATTTTTTGTCACTTTACTATGGATCTATGGAAAAACTTTCAATTAGTAATAGATAATTTAAATAAATGATGACTTCAAAGTGAACTACATTTTTTAGCTGAACTTAAGTCAATGAACTCTGGAGAACATTTAATGATTAATGACAATGTAGATGATAAAGATGAAGTTGTTGTAGAACAAATTATAAACTGTGTTGACCCTGTGGCATCTACTTCCAGTAAGTACTTAATTTATGAAGTTATTCTTTTAATTAATTTAACGATTTTATCTTGTAATTTTAGTTGAATGTATCAAAGATGAGTTAGATTTAAATTTAAACTATGAGTACCCAACAGACCGTGGACACTTCAATAATGATAGAGTCCCAGATAAGATTAAACGAAGTATACTGTTGTATGGACCATGCAAACCAAATATTGAATTTCCTCAAAATGAAAAACACAGAAAATTTTCTTCCGACTATTATTTCACAATGTCTAAATCTGGTAATAAAATACCTCGCACTTGGCTTTGTTATTCAATAGTCTTAAATAAAATATACTGTGAGACATGTTGGCTTTTTTCTGACCGATTTTACAAACATTATAATGCAACATGGGTCAATGGAGTTGATGATTGGCAACATGCCTCGCAAAAAATATATATTCATGATACGTCAGTTCAACATATTGAAGCTACTAAAATAAGATGCATATGGACAAAAAATCAAGTAATTGAAAAGGAATTGGAAAATCAAATTTCAGAAGAAGCAGCTTATTGGAGGAGTGTATTAGAGAGAATAATCAGAATTATACTACACTTAACTGCTGGAAATAATGCACTTCGTGGTAATGAAAAAAAATTTAGCAAGGACAACTCATTTAATGAAGGGAATTTTTTACAGACTGTTCGACTCGTGGCAAATTATGATCATATATTAAGTAAACTTATATCTTGTGAAAAAAGTAAAGTCAAGTACCTAAGTCATACTATTACTGATGAACTTATAAATATATTGTCAAACGATTTACTTAAAACAATTTGCGCTGAAATAAATGTTTGCCAATGTTTTTCAATTATTACTGATTCGACTCAAGATATAACAAAATTAGATCAGTTAAGTATAATCATCCGTTATGTTGTCGTCAATTATGAAAATAAGACTTTGGAAGTCAAAGAATCGTTTGTTGGATTTTATATTTTAAAAAGTCATGGTGCAGTTGATTATGTAAACCTTACTCAAGATGTTTTAATAAAACTTGGTTTAAATATTAACAAATGTCGAGGCCAGGGATATGATGGAGCTTCTGTCATGAGTGGAGCACATTCAGGTGTGCAAACAAGGATTAAACATATTGTTCCATCAGCCAAGTATGTCCATTGCTGTAGCCACAATTTAAATTTGGTTATTTCGGATGCAGCAAAGTGTCACAATAAAGTAAAACATTTTTTTGAAACTGTTCAAAATGTATTCAATTTTTTTGCCAGTAGTGCCCCAAGATGGGCTTTATTAGCCTTAGGTCAAAATTTTGGCGATAAAGTTCAAAAAAAAGTTTTAAAAAAGGTGTGCCCAACCAGATGGGAGGCTCGGCATGATGCTGTGTTTTCGCTCAAAGAACGTTTCATTGATGTACTTAAAGCTTTGACTTGTATGGCCCTTACCAGCAAGAAAACAACTGAACGAACCTTGGCATCGGGCTTGAAAAGTAAAATTGAAAATTTTGAATTTGTTTTAATCTTGTGTACTTGGGAACCTATATTACGATCATTAAGAGTAATTTCTAAAAAATTACAAAATGTAGATATGAACCTAGAAGAAGCATCTAAAATGCTAAATAATGCCGTCAATTTTATTCAAGAGACAAGAAATAGTTACGATAATAATGTACTTGATAATGCAAAATCGCTGTGTTCAAGATGGGGAATCCCAAATAAATTTGTAGAAAAAAGGGAATCATATGCCAAAAAACATTTTTATGACAACTTAAATGGAGATAGGAGACTTAACACAACTGAAGAAAACTTTAAAGTTAAAATATTTTTCCCTGTGTTGGATACAGTTTTGTCTCAACTCATTAGTCGTTTTCAAGGTATGCATAATGTAATAGAGGATTTCAATTTTTTAAACCCTATTATTCTTTCAACACAAACCGATGAAAATATTATGAAAGCATCATACGATTTTTGTCTAACATATAAAGACGATATAAATTCTGACTTCCCACGACAAATGTTATCATTAAAATCATTTATAAAATATGAAAAATTAAATACAATAAAACATTTAGGTAGTTTTATTCTAAATAATGATTTATCAAGTAGCTTTCCAGATGTTTTAAGTGCTTGCATTATTTTTCTGACAATGCCAATCACTGTAGCTGGAGCAGAACGTTCTTTTTCGAAACTAAAACTTATAAAGAATTATTTAAGAAACTCTTGCGGACAAGAACGTTTATCTAGTATAGCAATTTTAAATATTGAAAAAGAACGAACCAAAACTCTAAATATTGAAAAGATTATTGATAATTTTGCCAACGCGAAATCAAGGAAAAAAAATTTCTCAAAGTAGAATATATCCAGGGATATATCCTAACGATTTACATTTCTTATTAAGTATTAGTTTGTAATCTTTTTTTAAGCAAAAAGACACCAAATATAAATTTGAAAACATTTTGTGTATATCTGTTGTCTAAAATAAGATCAGTATTTATATTGTACCATATGTTGTAACCTATTATATATTATAAAATATATTGTGTATTTGTGTAGCCTATTTGATGTATAATATTTATATGTTTTAACAATTATGTTAAAAAAAACAATTTATTACATACTTTTAATTATTATATTACCTATATGTTAAAATATGGTTATACATTTATAATGCAATTTAATTTGAAGTATAAACTTAAAGGTATATTGTACTGTAAATTAAAAATAATTAAATAATAAAAAAAAGGGGCCCCTTAATTTTTTTTTGCACCAGGGCCCCCTGAGTTCAAGATCCGGCACTGACTGGCAGCAAACATGTGGGAATCGAAACGCCATACTGCAGTTTCTATATTTATATAAATATCATACTGTAGAAAAACGACGATGTAATATTGCATACGGCGTTATTATAATATAAATGTATCAATAGTCTAAAATGTAAATATCCAGTAACCGATGAGCAAGTGATAAGAATCCTTAAGATATCCGAGGTTTCATACCGATAAATATTTTCGTGAATATAGATTTAAACTGCTCACGATCATATTATTCGGTATTATGCTAAAGATATTTAAAGATGTTCATTTTAGTTTAAATTGCACACCAACTGTTTAATTGTTAACCATTTCCGCTGTGTAAAAATGCTAATAAATTTGTTTCGTATATCGCAAGATTTTAGCTGTTTAAGTTATATTTTTATTCTTTGGTATATATCCCATATGAATACTTTTGAGATTTTCTAACTTAATTATAAAACTGGGGTTTATATGCATTTGTTAATTTTTTCAGGTGATCAGAATCATTGTATGCGTGTTATAAATTTATATTAAAATTGTCAAAAGCATATTTTTGCGCATATGTATCTAATTTAAATATTTTACAATTTTTGCAGTATATTAGTAGAATATATATACACATCACAATTTTACGGTAATTTTTGTCCACAATACAATTCATGATAAATAGATATATTCAATAATAATGAGTTATGAGATTTCCAATATTATTTTTTGGGGTCAGTAAAAGTTCATTTAAATTAAAAATAATAAAAGCGATTTTATTATTATATAGAGTGACTTACCAAGTATACTTTCTCCTTCAGTAATAAATTAAAAGTAATAAAAAATTCTTAAAATTTGTTTGTACTCTACAACAAAATGCCTGTGTCGATATAAACTTAAGTTTTCTTCAAATGAGAAACCTCCTCAGAACGGTACAATTAAAAATTCCTATCTCTACCGGAAACTCTATTTTAAAATTAAAAGAAAAAAATCTCAAGAATTAGAAATTATAGACTTGAAATTAATTTAAAAATTCAAAAAATCAGATTTTGAACATCTACATTATTGATAAAAAAAAAGAACTAAGCATACTTAATGAATGACGATTCACCGTGTATATGATACAAACTCGCGCCAAATACGTATTTTTGTTTCTGTGATCGGGCACTAATATGTTATTATACGCATGTAGCTGCTACTCGAAACGACAAAACACATCGTTATTTGTTACAACGTGTATTGCACGCTGATCACGAGTTTCGGCCAAATGATTAATGGTCTGGTCGTGTGTTATTTTGCACAGGTATATAATATATTATTATTTATTATATAATATTATGTACAGAACAGAAAACAAATTAATCAATGCTTGAGCGGTTTCTCAGTCCGATGGATATTCTGTTGTAAATGAGCCAAAGTCTTAGGCGCTGCGAAATTGTAAGAAGGTGGGGGTAGGGGGTTGCGCCGCACCACTTTTACATACTTTATATCTTCTGCTCTATAGACAACTGTTGCCATAATAATATAATATGCATTAAACACAAAAGGTTAATCACTACACACACACAAACACATACGTATAGGTATATGGACTGACCGCTAATAATTTAACTTTGACGGCGACACAACGACCGTCACGGCCGTTGCGTATAATTTATAATCGTATTATTGTTATTACATTTTTTTCCCGCTCGAATCTTTTGATTGATTAATAGATCGGCCATGTCGAATAATCGACAGTGCGCGGGTACGTATGCATAATAATAATAATGATAATAATAATCGATTAGTAAATAGAAAAAATAAACCCGTCCGCGCACTGTTTCACAACGGCGGGAGATCGGTGCACTGCCGCAAGGTATACAATATTATATAGTCTCATCCGGAACAATTGTTTTCGGTATTTTTTTTTTTTAAAACGATTTCCTTACGAGCGAGACAATTAAATATGTATAATACAATATACACGGTAATGTGGCTGCAGGTGCGCGTGTACCATTTCTGCGCTTAAAATGTACGTACCTGGCTATTAAGTAGATGTGTGTATATTACTTTATAGACGCGACAATCTGGCAACGGTAATGCATATTATTATTATTATTATTATTAGTATTTAATTATTTATACACATTATGCCTACCACTGGGTGTTTACTGTAGGGAGGAGTTTAACGTACTTATTATTGTAATATAAATAGTGTAATAAAATAATAAAATATGGTTTCATTGTAATAATAATAATAATATACTAATGTGCGTATTATTTATGTGTATATACTATAAAGTATAAATAAACCTATACCTGTGTTACAAAATCACCACAAACACAAAGAAAAACCCATCTCGTTGGATATTTAATCTCTTATTCAAGGATATGGACGTTTTATCATTTGGAAGTCGTTTTTCCATTCTCCTCATTAATTAAAATGGCTATAAAATTGATTGCGGAAAATACGTTCGCACTTTCTTATCTTTTTATCCAACTTGAACATTCGTTCAGCTTGCCATGGATTTTTATTTTTTAGTTACCAATAAATCAAATAGGTATATTTAAAAGATCCCTCCCGCCGTTACTTCTTACATATAACAGTCACTACTTGCAATACTTTCATTTTCGAAAATAAAAATCAGAATTTTTTTTTTTTTATTACGTTTTAATTTTTCAACAAATGATTTTAATTTTTAGTAAAACATTATTTTAATTCGATAAATTTTTGAACGCTCTACACTTTTATGGCGACGGTTTTCCCACAAAGTTTACAGTATTATATCATCATGGACATCTATATAACGATTTTTGTTTTCAATTAAGTCCTGCATGTGTCACACATCACAGCAATTATAAAATAATTTAACCAATAATTAAGGCTCGATTAAAAAAACAACATATGGACTATAACATTTGTTCAAGTGGTATTATAGTTTGACAACATATATTAAACATATTTAATCAGACACTTTATATTCACGTTATGGGTTTAGGGTATCACCTGGATTGTATATCGTTATTTAAATAAAACAAACTATATATTATTATAATAATATATTTATCTATTTCATTAGTTGGTTTCAATCCTAATTTTTATGGACCTATTTAAGTCAATAGCGCATTAGGTAGTTTTGACTTTTTATATCTATTTCAAACCTAAACGTTTGTCCCCACGTCGAACTGGAATGCAGCGGTCGTTTATTGTGGGGGAGAAATTTCGACCTTGTGGAAATATTTCTTGTTCGATTTGACCACACAAGAGCTGTTCATCAGTCAGCCCAAAGAGTGAGTTAAAAATAATTATAGTAGGAGCCTATAATATTATAAACCAAAAAACAATTTCGTCTGATCCGTACGTTTCCCGGCTGTTGAGTCCAAAACATCCAAAACGACACGTTCATTATGAATAATTTGCGTAAAAGTAAAACCAAAAAAATAAGTAGGAATTATAAAAAAAATGTGTACCACTCATAATATTTATAGGTTTGTACATACCAATATTTAGTAAATTTATATATAGGTACCTATATTGTATATGATGCGAAGTATATCGTATATTTTGAAACCACCACCGGGTCCAGTACTTTTTTGCTTTGAAATCGGATAACCCGCCTAACTCGTTTTCAAAAAGATTTTTTTTACATTTGCCTCGGGTATGTAGGTACTAAATTGTATTCCGTATTAAAATTCGGCAAACGAGACCCCGATACACGGCACGATCATATTATTACAATACAGCAGCTATACCATATAGGTATATTAAAGTATGTTAAATTTTTATTTCAATAACGTTTTTCGTCCAACTTACTGCCTTGGGACTAGACATAATGTGTATACAAATGCTGTAGTCAACAGTATTTCTGTAATATATTACATTCGTGTAAGCGACTTGAAGTTTATACAATTATGTATAAAACATTATGTAAAATACATTATATTTAAAAAGATATATATATACAAAATAATAAAATATATTTTAACTATTACCTATTTTAACTGCAAAATCAATGTGATGTATAGATGACGATTAGAGTAATTCGAGATGTTATGCTATTAACAAACGCGTTAGCAGTTCGGAGTGAAAGCTTTACAGGATTTTGGTTATAGAGATAGCATAATATAATTATTATATTATTGATTTAGATATATAAGCAAATACACAATCGTTTTGGCAGGTATTTTAAATGTGGCCATTTTAAATCAAACATATTTTACTTAATGCATTTCGCATTTAATATCAAGATGATTAAAACTTCATTTGTTTTTAAAGCGTGTAATCTGCAGCATTTTTCATACAGTCATAGTAAATTAGTTAGTTATTAACTTATATAAGTTATAAAATAAAAATAAATGTCACATATAACAATAATATTTCTTTATTTAAAAAAAAAAAACTAAAAATTACCAATAAATAAATATTAGACAGTATTATTTATTCTTAAATATTTAATTATTTTTTGTTTTATTAAATTTTAGATAGTTCAATCTGATGGATAATTAAATATTGATAAATAAAAATAAAAATAATGTCGTTTATTTATTACCGTTTATTTTATTTGATACTGTTGTAATCAACATTTATTGACTT